CCCTGGAGCACTGTGGGAGGAGGAATGGTCACCAGTGCTCCCTGGAGCACTGTGGGAGGAGGAATGGTCACCAGTGCTCCCTGGAGCACCTGGGGAGGAGGAATGGTCACCAGTGCTCCCTGGAGCACTGTCAGAGGAGGAATGATCACCAGTGCTCCCTGGAGCACCTGGGGAGGAGGAATGGTCACTAGTGCTCCCTGGAGCACCTGGGGAGACGGGGCTGGTGTCACGGAGTGGACAAGAAGAAGCTCGAGTCCTCCTGCCCAGACATCTCCTGCCTTCAGGTCTGCGGGAACTACCTCCTCCAGCGGGGCATGGACAGCAAGAAGATTCTGGCACACCTGCGGGCTTCCACCTGCAAGGTAAGAGGCTGCACCCCAAAACTCAGGAGCCTGCATTATGTGGCTGCCCAGGAAGTGCTGGCCCTGCGTGGCACGGATGAGTAGAGGATCTGGGGAAGTACTGGTGACGGCCGCCCTCCTGAGACCCTCCTGAAACCCTGTCAGGGCAGCTGCTGACCGTGCCGGGCAGGGCCTACAGCAGAGGCCGCACGCGGTCCGACTCTTGTGCCTCCTCAGTGACCCTCAGTGGTCTTTACCGGTCCCCGGCATCCTCTGGGTGTCCTGGGCGCATCCCCAGGTAGCAGGGGAAGTCTCGCCCCCAGAGCTCTGCCCTCCCTGCAGGTTTGGGCCCTGGCGTATGCACCATTTCCGAGCTTAGGAGAGCCTTGCAAAGCGGGAGGGTGTGCCCCCGCTCCAAGTCTCAGGGCCACGCCCCTGCTCCACAGAAAGACCCTGGGATCGGCCTGCCAGGAGGCCAAAAGCTAAAGAGCCGAGGTCCAGCTGGGCCTTGGGCTCCCTGACTGACCTTCCACTGCAGGTCCACCCGGCGGAGCAGGCCATTGCCCTCCAAAGCACCTTCTCTGTCATTGAGCTGAAGCCATGCACAGCCCCTGCCTCTGAGACAGGTAGGTCCCCAGCAACCAGCCCTCTCACCCACCCCACCCCTGCTCCCACACCACAGCACACCGCCAGAGCCCCGCGTGGAGTGGACACCTCCACCCCCATCCAGGGCAGCGGGCGCAGTGAGGAAGCCGCCGTCCTCGGCCCCTTCCTCCCACTCAGACCTCAGCCCCCCACCCCGGTGGTCTCCTGCAGGCCCCACCACCCCGTGCAGCCGGTCCGCACCCGTCCTCCTGAGTGAGGCCCTCTGGAGCTGCCCTCCCCTCTGGGCCCTGGCCCAGCCTGGCACGGAGGAGCCCTGGGACAAGGGGAGCCCGGCACCCACGCCAGGGCCTCACCGCGGGCAAGGCCTGTGGCATGAGCTCCCACGGGCGCACACACCAGCCTTGACTGTCCCTTGTTCCTGTGTCCGGACTCCTTGTCACCTCCAGGCTTCCGGCCCATCGACAGCGGCAGCAGGCGCCATGCTGGGCCAGGGTCAGCCGCTTGCCGTGAAGGAGCCTGTGAGCGTCCAGCGGCCTCCACCTGTGAGGCCACTCTCTCTAAGCCCAGTGTCCTTGCTCAGGACACAGGTGTGGCCAGGTGAGTGTCTATACCCCAGCCTGCCATGTTTGCACACACACAGGCTCCTGAGTTTTCCCCTTCTCTCCCCACAGACACCAGCTCACCTCACCCATGGGGACAGCTGAGATGCCCGCGGAGAGGAGCAGCCCGCTGGACAGGGAGAGCACAGGGACGCAGGCGGTCCAGGGCCTACTTGAGGCCACCAGGCCTGACCAGCCGGCGCCCGACACAGAGCCTGAGGGAGCAGCCGTGGACTCTGCTGGGGCCTCGGTGCCCCGTGGCTCGTCCCCAGAGCGCCCCTGCCCCGCAGGGCCCGTCCCCCCCTCACAGCAGGGGGTCACACCGGGCCCAGCCGCCTCTCCTACCCCCACCCTGCCCCAGCAGGCCCCAGCCTTGCCCCCCGAGCACAAGCCAGAGGGGCAGGCCCCATCCAGAACCTCTCCGCCTGCAGGAGCCCTGGCCAGCCGCGGCCCACATCCCCCACGCAAGCCTCCCAGGAGCAAGGCCGCTGAGCCAGAGGTAGCCCTGCCAGGTGTGCAGGGCCCCCTCCTGGCCGCTGGGGGCCCAAACAGCCCCAGGCGCCCAGAGAGCCATCCTGACAGGCCCCGGCCCCCAGACCGGAAGCTCTGTCCATCCAGCGTGGACACCCCGTCCCCTCCAACGGCGGCCGCCTGCCCCTCATTGCAGGAGGCCATGCGCCTCATCCAGGAGGAGTTTGCCTTCGATGGCTACCTGGACAACGGGCTGGAGGCCCTGATCATGGGTACGGGGCCGCCCTGTGGGAGGCCCTGGTCAGAGAAAGGTGGGGGGACGCACCTGTAGCCTAGGGGGACCCACTCCTGTCTCCACCCCAGGGCTGGGGTAATGATGACAGGGAAGCTGGCAGAGCTGGCTCCTAAGAGCCCCAGCCCCCCCCCCCCGTGACCCAGAGCTGCAGGACCAGAGACACATCTTTGTGTGATCATTTGCAAAACCAGGGGAGTATATCTACGCCTTGAAAGACCTCACCTTTGCTACGTTTTGTGGTGCCATATCTGAGAAGTTCTGCGACCTGTACTGGAATGAGCAGTTGCTGCAGAATCTCTTCAAAGTGGTCAACAGGCCAGCCTCGCCCCCCGAGAGGTGGGTGTCCAGACCAGCCTGCCTTCCCGAGGCCCCGTGCGGGTGGGGTCCCACGGGTGCTTCGCCCTGCCTCCCTGTACCCTCACTCTCTGCTGCCCCAGCCCTGCTCCACAGGGACCCGGCTCCCTGGTGCTCGAGGCTGTGGGCGGGCTGGAGGAGCTTGCCGGCAGCCCCTCTGGAAGAGCAGAAATAGCAAGACGCCAGTACAAGTTCACCCACCCCGGCCTGGCCCCAAGGCCTTGGGGCTGTCCTGGCTTCTGTCCAGCAGGGCTCTGGGAGGAGACAGGGTGTGGTGGGGCTCTGGGACCAGGGCCTCCGTGGTCCCGGGGCCTCCCCCCGCCGGTGAGCGCCAGCCGCTCTGACCAGCGGCTCTCCTTGCAGCGCTCCTGACCCGCAGAGACCTCACCCCCAGCACTCACCAGGCAGCTGCTCCATCTACAGCAAGAGGCCCTCACCGCCTGGACTAGGTAAGAGAGGCCGCTGCACTGTGCCAGCCCCGGTCTCCGCAGGGCCTCCGGCGCCCTCCTGTGGTGACTGGGCAGTTGTAGAAAAGCCCTGCATGGAAGACGCCCCAGGTACCCTGGGGCCGGAGTCTTCCCTGCCAGAGCCCTCTTCCAGCAGTCCCATGCTGGGGAAGGGGGGGCTTGGCATCATCCCACAAGCATGAACCCCAGAAACACCACAGGCTGGTGCAGCGCTCCGTGAGAGTACTAGCCAGGCATCCAAGGTCAACTGAAAACCAATTTCCCAAGCCAGTCTGGGGACATAAGGGCGGGCTGGCCAGGCAGACTGCTAAGCAGCAGGTAACAGCCTGGGCCTGAGGTCTGGCTGCTCGGGGACGGCCAGGAGGCCACCAGCATGGATGGAAGCTGACAGGGTTTCAAGTGTCTTGAAGGATTCGTGCACGGAAGGGCGGAGCTGGGTTTGATCGTGGACTGAGTCCAGGGCCTACGCAGTGCAGTGCCCAGAGGGGCCTAGCAAGGGAGGCCTCTCTCAAGCCACACAGCGGCCCAGACTCCACCCAGCTCCACCCTGCAGAGCAACGGCCGGCCAGGAGCCTTTCATGGAGGTTTCCAGGCCTTCCCCCGTGGACAGAAGTGGGCCCGCTGTCCCCTGATCCTCACCTCTCTCTTTCAAGGGGATGAGAAGCCGACTGCAGCCCGGGACAGTGGAGGCCCCTGCTCACCCTCAGCGCTGTCCAGCAGGGACCCTGCTGTGCTCCTGCAAGGAAACTTCGAGGTGGGGTTTCGGCCCCAGAAGTCCATTAAAGCCGCAGAAAAGCACCAACCTGAGGCCGAAGCAGACAGGCAGCAAGGCCCAGGCCCCGAGCCAGCTGGCAGGGCCTCAGAGCCAGACTCAGGGGCACGGCTGAGCAAGCCGGAGGAGGGTGGCCGCACCGTGTCACCGGGCTCTGCAGAGTTCCGGAGCTGCAGCCCCGGATGGTCCAGCGCTTTCTATGAGGCCGACTGTTTTGGTGCTGATGTCTACAACTATGTGAAGGATCTGGGGTGGCAGAAGACCAATGGGCATCTGGGACCCGAGGCCCAGAGCCCCGTGAGTGGGGGGGGGACAGGGAGGGGGACCCGAGGCCCAGAGCCCCGTGAGTGGGGGGGGGACAGGGAGGGGGGACCCGAGGCCCAGAGCCCCGTGAGTGGGGGGGTCAGGGAGGGGGGACCCGAGGCCCAGAGCCCCGTGAGTGGGGGGGGACAGGGAGGGGGGACCCGAGGCCCAGAGCCCCGTGAGTGGGGGGGACAGGGAGGGGGGACCCGAGGCCCAGAGCCCCGTGAGTGGGGGGGGGACAGGGAGGAGAGGGGGTCCCGAGGCCCAGAGCCCCGTGAGTGGGGGAAAGGGGGTGACCCAAGGCCCAGAGACCCGTGAGTGGGGGAAAGGGGGGGACTCGAGGCCCAGAGCCCCATGAGTGTTGGGGGTAGGGAGGAGAGGGGGGACCCAAGGCCCAGAGCCCCGTGAGTGGGGGGGA